GTGATATTGAAGTGAGAGGATTTTACACTAATTTTTGAGTTTTTCTAGACTCCAAGGAATTCAGCATGGATGGAATGATTGGCTCATGTCCAGACAGGATTGAAAATTTAATTCTATTGTGAGGTTACTCTGTTAACTCTACTGAAGCCAATAGTGAGTACTTGAGTGTTGGACCCATTGATGGATTCTGCTCAAGGAGGTCTTCCCCTAAGACAGAATGAGGCAGACGCCTCAAGCAGGTGGGATGTACAAAACTGGTAAAATGGTGGCAGATATTGACGTTGATGTCCCATGGGTTGTCCTGTCAGGGTGACCAGACGTCCTCCTTTTCCAAGCCACATCTTCCATTTCAACCCTCTGTCCAGGAGGAATTTCAAAATGTCCTCCATTCGGAGCATGACTAAGAATCGTGAATTTTATATTTATATGAGTGTTTTGAGCTTTTTTAAAAAGTAAAGTCCTCCGTTTTCCTTGAATGTCCTACATTTTGCGGTGCTGTGTCCTCCTTTGTGGTTAGGACATCTGGTCATCCTGTGTCCTGTGCCCTTTTACCTTGACACTTTTAGGCACAGTGGCAAACTCCTGTCCTTCAACACCAGTGCCAAATATACAGAAGTGCCAAACGTCTGTGCATGAAAGGAAAAAGGGAACCAAGCGCCTGCCCTTCACCTCAGGCAGCAAAATGTCTTGGGCCGGCACTGATGTCATTGAAGAAACTTCTGCATCAAGCAGTGTTTGGTTTCTCTTCATTCCTCCTCTCCCCCACCCCCAGCCTCTTTTTCCTCTTTTTTCTTGATAGTTTGACTCTACAGCGTCAAGGTCTTTGTATGGCTTTGTGCTTTCCAGGAATGTAACCACTAGCCTGAGTGCTGTGGCTTTTCCAAGTCACTGGTCTCTGAAGCTTCTTTGTTGCTGTATCTTTCCATTCATCCCACAGTTCCCTTTGGGTTTTGAACTGCTGATTAAAGGTGTTGTTGGATCAGCTAAGAATGCGCTAATTGTGGCGCCCGGCCATATTTTTTTATTGTTTTCCATACCTGTTAGAAATTGGGATCTCACCTTTACAGAGTTCTGGTTTGTATTTCAGACATGGGAGATTGTGGGCTGCTGATGCGTTTCCTTAAAGAAAATAAGCACAGGCTTGAAACATGAATGCTTATGCATGATTTTTTTGAAGGGGGCTATCTCCTCCCATTCCTTCCCCCCCCCCC